GGGGGGGGGGGGCAATTATTTTAAAATTAAAGCATAGAACATAGAAATTCTACTTTTATATTTTCTTCTGCACAGTGAATACCTCCAAAGGAATTGATTTTTTACCGCAAACTCAAATTTTCTTATTTCTATATCTTTGTAACCTTTGATATTTTAATCATAGATTATTTTTATCTACCTCTATTATTAGCTTGAAATATTTTTTGTCTACGATATTGGATTGCAAAGATATAGGGATTAAAAATTAAGTGTTTTGGCCAAAACTCAATTTCTTTGCATGGACATTTGAAAGGTTTTTACTTACTTTCTATAAAAAATGAATGGTTAGATAATAAAACGGTTTATATTTACGTCAAGTTAAAGTAAAATGCAATAACGATATTGAAATTTATGTTTTTTACTATAACCCCGCTTTATGAAGAGAAGGATAAAAATATTTTGAATTCATAATAATATGTAATAATTATAATAATATGTACCAAAAAAATAGTTTTTTTTTATAAAACCTCCAAAATTTTCGTGGACATTTATAAGGCGTCTGCTTATTTTAGTTTTCATGAAAGTTTTTATTTATGGTTTATGTGAAAATGAAACAAATTATAATAACTTTTGAAATATATTGTATGTTTAATTTTATTTATAATTTGTTTTATTGGTCATCCGCTGAAATTCTGAAAAAAATGCTTAAAAACTCGTTTCAAAGACATATGGCTTACCCTTTATTGATGCCTTAAATACTTTTATTCATTATATTAAGTATTGTAGTAAAAAAAAGTTACATAATAGATAGAACATTATTAAACATTATATTTTTCATCATATAAGCATCATACATTAGATTTTTATTGTTTATACTGTTTAAATACATTTTTAAAAAAAATATTTTATTTATAGATTTGTAAAAATATGTTTTTACCATTTTAATATATGTTTTTGATGTTTAATCCTGAAAATGTGTTGAGCCCGTGTGTAGGGCCTTGTATCCCAGGATACGAGGGCCATTCATTTAATTCAAAGTTTCGCATAAAAAAAATCATTTCTACACTTTTCCTTCCTAAACATTGTAACCGATTAAACTTAGTTTACAAAAGCTTTCGGTTTCTTAATATTTATAAAATATATCTGTGTCCATGTATTTATTTTTTAACTGCAGTACAGTACAGGGATGTGTTGGTTGCACATCAAATTCTGTACAATGTACAGAAATTTTGTCATCATTTGTTTCACTGAATTATGTCGGAAAAGTTGTTACATCAAATTACTTGTCCTAAGATGGTTTTATAATTAGTTGTATTTAAGTTGTACATTATTTAGGGACCCGTACAAAATATAGTTTGTCTTTTACTGTAATGTGTTAAAAGTTGTAGAAGTTTTTACTGAGTGTTCAAACATAAAATTACTGCACTTACAATGGTTCGAGTTTTAAACATTTTCTATTGAAAGGTTATAATGCAAGGAAAGTTAATTGCAGTTGCGTATACTCTGCGTACATATTTAAACCGGTTCTCTTTGGGAGGAATTTGTAAATAAGAATAGATGCATCAGTGTTCGTTTAGTATCCGAGGAGGTTACAAGCATTAACTTTTGATAATTCACATAATAGTTTCATATGACCAGAATATTTCATTGATTTTTATGTGAAAGATGGATCCCATGTCAGGCTGTAACATCCGTCTTGTGTTTACATTACCGCCCAGAGACAGTACACTGCAGTACAAAAGATATGCACACCTCTGAAATAACTTTCCTAGCATTATAACCTAGTCCTATCGTATGTTTCAGTGATGTAGGTAAGTTTTGACAGTTTTCAGTTGTCCATTATTTGCTCATTCCTTTATATATTTATATTAAAAGAAAGAGCAGATTACAAATTAACAAAACAAATATGTTTAACTTTTAAATTCGGTGATGATAATGTACCAAACCTCTGTAGAGTAAATTAAATAGAAGTCACAGGGCTACCCACAAAGGACGAGACTTTAGAGACGATTGCACGGAATTTGTTTGTCCCTTTTCTTGCATTCAGGGTTCCTTGAAGGCCAAAACTGCCTTAAATCTGGGCTTAATCATTTATTAAACCATCATAACACAGATTAGAATGCAGAAACCAAAAATCAAACTTTAAATCAATTTTTCAGAGTTTTGTGTCGTCTTTACAGTCTAATCCTTTGTGGGTATTAAAAACATATTTCGGTCTGGGGTGACCCTAGGTTTTGTTGTTGAGATTGTTCCTGTCATGAGGATTCAAAACAAACTGATTTTTTTTAATATCCTAACTTTTGGTTCACAGTTCTGATCTTCTGAACTCCTTTCTTTTTATTTCTCTTAAATGCCAAGGTTTTGTTGTATGTAAGATGAAATTTTTAACCCCAATTAAGCCTAAATTGGGATTTCTTTTTATCAACTGTAATGCTACAAACCTTTGAATGACATCACTCGATAGGAAATTATGTAGGTTTTCAAAATTTCTCATTTTGTTCCTAGACACCCTGCTATCATTCAAGTATAAATTATGCGGAAATTTTTCAAATTACATTGTTTCTCTTCTAACTAGTTTATTTTTGGAGTAACATACGCATACGCATTGCGTATATAGTGTTGTTAATGCTAGTGACCCTCCATATAGATTCACAACGGTACCCTACATATGTAAATGGAAGATAATTTCGTTTTTCTATCTTTAAGAGGTCTTAATTCTGGTGTATACTTCATTGTTTTCCTGCAGCGCGAGTAACTTTTCTACAGAAACCACAATTTAAATTCATCAGTTTTTAAACTATAAACATTTAATATCTAAATGATTTTTAAATAGATAAAGAAGGGTTGAGAATCGTATATACTCATCTATAAATGATTTTTAAATAGATAAAGAAGGGTTTGGGCATTTATTTAAAGATTTACAACATCTTTTTCTTAAAAGGAATTTTATTACTTAGAATATTCAGTTCACTTTGATCGGTCAAACTGAGAAGACTCTTGGTCTTTAGTAGTCTTCAGTGAGTTAACTTTTGTCTTTAGTAGTCGTTAGTGACTTATTTTCGGACTTTAGTAGTCGGACACCACTTGTTTGTATGAGTTAGTGTTTAGACTACAAAAGCATTTAGTGAGTTAGTTTCGTACTTTAATTGTTTGTAGTGAGTTAGTTTTTGGACTACAAAAGTCTTTAGTGAGTTAATTTCCGACTACAATTATCTGTAGAACGTTAGTTTGTAGACTACAAAAGCATTTAGTGAGTTAATTTCCGACTACGCTTGTTTGTAGTGAGTTAGTTTTTGGACTACAAAAGTCTTTAGTGAGTTAATTTCCGACTACACTTATCTGTAGAACGTTAGTTTGTAGACTACAAAAGTCTTAAGTGAGTTAATTTCCGACTACGCTTGTTTGTAGTGAGTTAGTTTTTGGACTACAGAAGCCTTCAGTGAGTTAGTTTTTAGACTACAAAAGCTTTTAGTGAGTTAAACTTGATGTTTAAAGTAATCTATTTATAACCTATTTTTAAACTTAACAAATTTTTAAATAAAATATATTGTTTTGAGCAAGTTTATAATATAATTGTGTTTGGTTTATTAACACAGGATTACCCACAGAGTATGATAGCTCACTCCTGTATGCCGAGTCCATTAGCGCCTGATCCAATCAGGGTTCAGTCATGTGTTTATTGTCTATTCTGAACCAATAGAAATAGTATAGCGGTGACATCTATCTTTCTATCTATCTCATTGTCCAATCAGAGTTATGAATCCTTCAATCGGCGCTATTAGTAAATGGAAATATTTACTTTTACTGAAACTATAGTGAGCTGAGAGAAGTTAAGAAAAATAATTTTAACTAGTTTATCGAATTGAAGTGTAAAATAAGTTTATTCTGAACTATAGTACATAAGTAATAGTTAGTTATTCATTGAATTTAGTAAAGTTAAGTGAGTTATTAATATACTGTGATAGTACTTAGTTTTAAAGTATTATATATAGCAGCCTTTAGTAAGTAATGCTAAGCCAACATTGATTTTTACTCAGTTACTCTAGAACTATATTTCTGCTTAATCAGTTAGTCTAATAATTAATAGTTAGTTATTCATTGAATTTAGTAAAGTTAAGTGAGTTATTAATATACTGTGATAGTACTTTTTGAAGTATTGTAAATATAGCAGCCATTAGTAAGTAATGCTAAGCCTACATTGCTTTTTACTCAGTTACTCAAGACTATATTTCTGCTTAGTCAGTTAGTCTAGGACTATATTTCTGCTTAGTCAGTTAGTCTAAGACTAAATTTCTACTTAGTCAATTAGTCTAAGAGTAAATTTCTGCTTAGTCAGTTAGTCAAGAGTAAATTTCTGCTTAGTCAGTAAGTCTAAGAGTAAATTTCTGCTTAGTCAGTTACTCTAAGACTATATTTATGTTTGGTCAGTTAGTCTAAGAGTAAATTGCTTTTTAGCCAGTTGATCTTTAAGAGTAAATTGTTTTTAATCCGATGATCCATTGATCCTTGTAACAAGCAATTCTGTTAGATCAAATAACTTAAGTTTGAATTATCAAAGGTTTATTACCTTGAGGTTTCAAAAATAAAGGGATAAGAAAATTTGAGTTTGCAGTTAAGACTAAATTTCTTTCAAAGCTAGGTATTCAATGAATCCATGCATACGCCAGTATTCATCGATAGTTTAAAATGTATCAACCTTCAAGTAAGATATCCCATATTCGAAAATAAATTTCCTCGTTTATTGCTAATTTCTTTCCTAAACTTCATTATTCAGAGAAAAATATCATAAATATCCCCCCGGCCCCGCAATCGCGTTGTAAAAATGCTGTTTTAATTGTGAACCAAGATTATCCTAGACTACATCCAGGAGTTTTCTTTAATCTTAAATAAGAATATAAATAAGTAAAAATATATATTTTTTTGATTTGATAGTTATTTTTTAAAATTATATTATAAAAGTCATTTAGATATTTTTTCATTTAAAGTCCGGCCGAATATTGAAATAAAGTAATTTATTGCAACAAATTTAAAATTTCTAATCTCTATCTATATACATATGCAACCTTATGATGTAAACCTTTGATATTTAAAAATTGAATTAGTTAAGCTAATTGAATTCATAGTTTGAAATATGTAAGATCTACGACATTGGAAAATCAGAGTTTGTGGCAACAACTCAAGTTTAGTCCAAGTCTACATACAAATATTCCAATAAATGGCTGCTTTTTATTTAGGAACAAGATGGAAACCAAAATATTCGTCGAATACCATCCTCCCTGACCTCCAATCATCTGTCATTAAACTCCAGTCATCCGTCATTGACCTCCAGTCATCCGTCATTGGCATCCAATCATAATTCATCGCATCCGTCCTCCCTTCATCCGCCATCACATCCAAACCATCCGCCCAACCTTCATCCGTCCTCGAATCACAATCAAAATTTGACTTCTAACTTGCCCTCCACTCCAACGGACGAGTTCGACTCCAAGTACCCTGGAGAGTACGGTAGTAATGGAGATAGTAATTTTAACGCTGGTTACACTTCAGGCTCCAGATATCCAGGTTTGTTAGTAGATAATCATTGTAATAATTATTACAAGATTATTACAGTGAGATTCATACAACTTCTGAATGAGAAGATTAGATTTAACCAATGATTTGTCAAGCTGAGGCTAGTTTAAAGCAAATAGTATTGCCAATAGCTTCAAAACCAACTTCTATGGTGAATTGGCTATGTGTATACACTGCTGTGTTTCATGTTTAATGGATTATTGAAATCATTACTTGAGTTAACAGTCGTCTTCTTATTCCACAGTTTGTATGGGTTCAGCTGTTAACATCTTATTTATCGCTGCAAACTCTCATCCAAAACAACCAGTAAAGGTTAGAGAGGTCCTGGCTAAATCAAAATGTAAAAATTGTGAACTAAATGAGATTGTTATTTGATAAAATATTTAGTCAAATATATATATCTATATATCTATCACTGTTAGAATAGTAGTAAAATCGAATGCATGACACTGTATGTAATTAAAATAGCCTACAGGTTTACAGGTTTACAGGTTTACAGGTTTACAGGTTTACAGGTTTACAACAAAGGATGAGCCTTAAAGAACCGAATATCTGCAATGCCCTTCGATCTGAAGATTTCATCTTTTATTTTGATTAGAGTATTTCAAAAATAGATATATTAAATAATTTGACTAAACAAACAAAACCACATAACCCTTTCATTTCTCCTTTGCAGTCCCTTTAAGAAGAATTTATAATAATATAACATTGATAATAATGATATGGATATATAAATAGAATAATAATATTAAAAAACTAAATTTAAATAAATAAATAAAAGGCACAATTAAAACAACCATAATAAAGATACTAAAGATAAAAATGTACAATGATAACACTGATAATAATGATACTAATTAATTTAGGATATGGTCTGGAGAATATGACAAAAACAGAATATCATCAGGAATTAAAATTATTATCAATTTAAAAACAGAAACAGTGTTGGGATTGGGGTTGGAATTGGAATGAGGGGGCTAATTTTATTTCAGAATTGGTGAGACACGAAAAAATTTTAGAAGTAAAATACGTTTATGAAGCTTAAAGGAATCATTAATTTTAATTATTTTAAAGTTGTATGAACAAAGTCTTTATTCATCAACCCAACTTAGGAACCAAAAACATATAAATATATACTTTTAAGAGTTTTAATTTAAAGGAAAAATTATTGAATTGTGACTAGCTTAGTATATTTTTCGTTTATAGAAACCCCGATATATTCATAATTCAATTTATTAAAAATAGTGTATATCTAATATTTAATATGTTTTTGGATATTTAGTGATTTTCAACTTAGAATGCAGCCTTTCGGGTTTACGGGGAATCCAGCTCTAGGTGAGTCCTTTTGGGGTTTTGGGGGAAAATTTTTCTATTTTGAAATCTTTTAAAATGTTAAAATTAAATTTTTGTGATGTGAATTCGAACTTGCATTCAGCTAGTTCATCAATATTTCTCCAAGTTTAAATAAATTATGCATTTAAAATCTTCCGAAATTGGTTTCCTTTTCAATCATTTTTTAATGAAACTTGATTGCCAAATCAGAAATCATATGGGGTGGATGTACATTTATGAAGAAAAAAAATATTCTATATTTTGTTAGATCCAGCCACTGCAGCACAGTATGCAGCAGCCGCGGCTGCAAACCATGGCTATGATATGTATAAAGGAATTTTTCAATTAAAAAAAGTTTCAAAAATTAAAATGGTTTTTCTCTATCAGTAAAAAACATTTAACTCGAGATTTAGATGAATGGGATTTTAAAATTTGTTACGGTAAAATGAATGAAGAACTTATATTGACGCAGTGTTTAGCTTAATAGTGTTTAATGTAAACCACTCTTTTATTGATCCTTAGATAACCCTTTCCTCGGGGTAATAAAATGTGGTTTTCTAAAAAGGGGTTTTAAACACCATCTGGTTATCCCGTATCGGCTGTAAAGGTGTCCCCCTGACCCTCCAGAACCCTTTTAAATGTCTGTTTTGACACCTGTTCTAGAAAATGGCGTTTCCATCTAATGTCGGTCAAATCTCTGACTACGATAGCGTTTTCTTGGCCGTCGGAGTCTCCTTGTCCAACATGGCGTTTATTCTGTTTTTACTTTATAAACACGAACATTTTAATTCAGAAAAAAGATTTTTTGATTATTGAAACTTACGGTATCTCCGCAATCGTAATTTTCTAAATTAGCGTGTTAAAGTTTTCCAAATCCGAATTAAACCATGAACCATATTTTTCTTCACTTTTCTCATCGTTAGAATTAATTGTTTTCGCTCGTCAAACCGCAGATAAAAAAATCAACTCTTCCCTGAAATTTAAAATTCTTTTTTAATTTGAAAAACGTCAGGATCTTACTATCCATGGATGAAGAATTATACAGGTTAGTTAAACACTTTTGTACTTGGTGGTTTTTCTGTGAAAATTTTTGTATTTGGTGGATTTTCTTTGAACATTTTTGTATTTGGTGGATTTTCTTTGAACATTTTTGTATTAGGTGGATTTTCTTTGAGCACTTTTGTATTTGCTTGATTTTCTTTGAACATTTTTGTATTTGGTTGATTTTTCTGTGAACATTTTTGAATAAGGTTGATTTTCTTTGAACATTTTTGAATTAGGTTGATTTTCTTTGAACATTTTTGAATTAGGTTGATTTTCTTTGAACATTTTTGTATTTGGTTGATTTTCTTTGAACATGTTTTTTATTAGGTGGATTTTCTTTGAACATTTTTTTACAATATTTTGTAAAATTATTTTTAAAAACATATATCTGTAACGCCATCTCATGATCTCCCTTTCCATTAGTGCATTGCTAGCTTTAAAACTATTTTGATATTTGTGCACTCTTGCGCGTAGGAACAGTTGTGATAAATCTCGGTTTTATACAATTAATAATAATAATATAGCATGTAGGAATATAATTTTAAAAGCTTAACCGATTTAAAGGGACTGTGTTCAAATTTTCGACTATTTTATCTAAAAAAATATCTGCCTGTCATGATGTGTACGTCCATATTTAAAGTTTTAAATTTTAAGTATTGTAAATGTTTTTTTTGTGTCTTCCTCACCCCAATCATTTTTTACAGTAAGAAGGATTCACAACTAAAAGGAATGCATTTTCTTAATATATAAAATTGAACTGGACCTTTTCAAGATTTAATTCTAGAAAAACTGTTGATTATTGGTTTTCCTTCCATTTCGTGTATCTACTGCAGTTCCTTTCACTTTTTAGGATTTGGAATATTTTAAAGAAAAATGGGAGTCACAAACCTAAATAAAGAACTTAAAAGAAAAAAGATGAAAATTAACAATTTCTCCCCCGTCAATGATTAGTGTCTTGTTTTACAAGTAAGCCAATGTTTAGAAACGGTTTAAGTGTTAAAACTCTTTTCTTGCTTATTAAGGTTTAAATCTGGGTTTTTAAGAACGTTAGGAAAGCTAAGTTCTGTTGCAAAAACGTGCTCTAACTTGTCACAAAAACGTGCAACTAACTTGTCAAACAAACGTGCAACTAACCTGTCGAAAAACGTGATAATGACTTATCATAGAAAAGTCCTGTCGCATGACGTGCTACTAACTTGTAAAACATTCGACTAACTTGTCACAAAAACGTGCTACTAACCTGTAAAAACGTGCTACTAAACTGTAAAAACGTGCTACTAACCTGTAAAAACGTGCTACTTATCTTTAAAAACGTGCTACTAATCTGTAAAAACGTGCTACTAAACTGTAAACACGTGCTACTAACCTGTAAAAACGTGCTACTGATCTTTAAAAACGTGCTATTAACTTGTAAAAACGTGCTACTAACCTGTAAAAACGTGCTACTAACCTGTTAAAACGTGCTACTAACATGTTTAAACCTGCTACTAACCTGTAAAAACGTGCTACTAACCTCTAAAAACGTGCTACTAACCTATAAAAACGTGCTGTTAACCTGTAAAAACATGCTACTAACCTGTAAAAACATGCTACTAACCTGTAAAAACATACTACTAACCTGTAAAAACTTGCTACTAACCTGTAAAAACTTGCTACTAACCTGTATAAACATGCCACTTTACAGTCACAAAGTTGTTGTATGCTCTGTCCTAAAAGAAACGTCAAAGATGAAATCTTAACCTTCGAAAAACTTTCTTTAATTTGATCAATTTATGATTTATAATTGTCAACTGTACAGTGTATATTGATATCAGTGTACATAAACGCAGCACAGTAGGTGTACAGTTGAAATTGTTTATTATCTTGTTATGTACTGCTTCCATATCATTAGACCTCTATTTCGTAAAGTTTACAGTAGGGTAATTTAGTTTTAAACTTTACAATTCTGTTTGTCTATCTGTCTATCTTCTAATCTGTCTAACTTATTTACTTGTTTGTCTGTCTATCTTCTAATTTTTCTATATGTCTTTCTTCTAACTTTTCTATCTTTTTATCTTACAAGTATATCAGTCTATCTTCTAACTTGTCTATTAGCCTATCTTCTAATTTCTCTATCTTTATATCTTATAACTTAATTGTATATTTGTCTTTCTTCTAACTTGTCTATCTGCCTATCTTATAACTTGTCTATCTGTCTATGTTCTTACTTGTCTATCTGCCTATCTTCTAACTTGCCTATCTGTCTATGTTCTTACTTGACTATCCGCCTATCTTATAACTTCCTATCTGTCTATCTTCTAACTTGTCTATCTGCCTATCTTATAACTTTCTGTCTATGTTCTTACTTGACTATCCGCCTATCTTATAACTTCCTATCTGTCTATCTTCTAACTTGTCTATCTGCCTATCTTATAACTTCCTATCTGTCTATCTTCTAACTTGTCTATCTGCCTATCTTCTAACTTATCTATCTGCCATATATCTTCTAACTTGTCTATCTGCCTATCTTCTAACTTATCTATCGGCCATATATCTTCTAACTTGTCTATCTGCCTATCTTCTAACTTGTCTATCTGCATATATCTTCTAACTTGTCTATCTGCCTATCTTCTAACTGGTCTATCTGCCATATATTTTCTAACTTGTCTATCTGCCATATATCTTCTAACTTATCTATCTGCCATATATCTTCTAACTTTTCTATCTGCCTATCTTCTAACTTGTCTATCTGCCATATATCTTCTAACTTGTCTATCTGCCTATCTTCTAACTTGTCTATCTGCCATATATTTTCTAACTTATCTATCTGCCATATATCTTCTAACTTGTCTATCTGCCTATCTTCTAACTTGTCTATCTGCCATATATTTTCTAACTTGTCTATCTGCCATATATCCTCTAGAGGTCCAAGTTGTTCATCGTCCTATCTTTTAAGTCGTTTTCTCTCTGTCTATCTTCCAAGTTGTCTTTCTGTTTATTCTTTTTCAAGTTTATTGTTTATCTGTTTTTATGTCTATCTGTTTTTATGCCTGTCTGTGTTTATGTCTGTCTGTTTTATGTCTGTCTGTGTTTATGTCTATCTGTTTTTATGTCTATCTGTTTTTATGTCTGTCTGTTTTCATGTCTGTCTGTTTTATGTCTATCTGTTTTTATGTCTGTCTGTTTTATGTCTATCTGTTTTTATGTCTATCTGTTTTTATGTCTGTCTGTTTTATGTCTATCTGTTTTTATGTCTATCTGTTTTTATTTCTGTCTGTTTTATGTCTATCTGTTTATTTATCTGTCTATTTTTTAAGGCTCTAACTGTCCATACCTGTATAAAGGTTGTGAAAGTTTATTTCTTTCTATCTGTCTCTATGTTCATCTTGATGTCTGTTTCTCAGGGTGTCTGTATGTATTTCTGTGTTCCTATGGTTAACAGCATATTTGTAACTTTAAAGAAATATGATTTGAATGACTGCTGACCAAGTCACTGCGTAATTAAAATAGAAAAACATTACTAATTATGTATTATTTACATTTTCCACTTTTTACATATAATCTTTTTCGTCAATACATTTTTATCTATTAACCTGTTTATCTATATTTATTCCTTTATATAGTAATAGTATTTATTTTTAAACACAAAATACAAAATAATAATGTAGTTGGTTCAGCTAAAAACAAAACACAAAAGAAAAATTTAAAATAAGCAATGGAAAAAATAATGTTAAAACAAACTATTCATATTGAAATCACAACTGAATTTAGATACATTCATTGTATATGTACAATATATATATTAAATATCCATTTATCTATCTAACTTTTTATCTAGGTATATATTCATTTACTTATTTATGTATCCATCTATTTATTTATCTATCTTTCATTCTATCATTCTATCTCTCTATCAATCTGTATATCCCTATATATCTAACTATGTATCTCTCTCTTTGTATCAATCTGTATATGTATCTATTTTTATATCAAGGAATTGAGTCTTTGCCACAAACTCTGATTTCTTCACAACACAACGTCAAACAGCTTAGATATTTCAAACTATGAATTCTGTTAGTTCAAAGAATCTAAGTTTGAAATATCAAAGGTCTACACTATTAGGTTGAACAGTGATAGGGATTATAAAATTAGAGTTTGTGGTAAAGACTCCATTCCTTTGTATATCTATCTAAATATCTGTGTATCTCTTTATTTAGCTGATATGACCGCGGTCACCACTGGTCCTAAGAGGACTAGACAAACCTATACAAGATACCAAACATTGGAATTAGAAAAGGTAAAAATATTGATTTATCGAAACACATTTTTACAATTTTCAATTTAACTTATTTTTATTCGTAAAACCTTAGAACTAATTTAGATTATAAGCTTCATCAATTTAAAAATTCTTTTTTCTCTACAGAATTTTTAATTTTTTTTTTAAATTTTAATATTTCGAAAAGATTTGCATGTTATCATTATTGGGTCTTTATCATTTTTTCAATTCACTAATAATGTATCATGTCTATATACCATACTTTTTGATAGGGGTGTATATATTCCTGAAAAATTATCCCTCCCCGGGGTTTTCATTATTACTTTTTAATTTCATGCCCAGACCCTATATTTAACCCTGTGGGTAATTATCTTCTTCCCATGGATTTAAAATATATAATCTCAAGTCTATTTCTCAACTCGTCAACATGTCGATATATTTACTTGCCTAGTCAGTCTAGTCATTAATCAGCTAACCACCACATTAATCACACGATATAGGCACCTTATCAGCTGAACACAAAGATTATCTGTTAAATCAGCTTACAAATAATATCAGCCAATTTTAAAATCAGTTAACTTATGAAATTATCAACTAATCTATTCAAATAGATAACTTACACAATTAGTTAATTTACACAATAAGCCAATCTATGCAATCAGCAAATTATCCAATCAGTTTAACCATACAATTAGCTAGACTATATATAATCAGCTAATCTATAGAATAAGCTGATCTACACAATCAGATAAACTATACAATCAGCGCTAATCTATCCAATCAGTTAAACTATACAATTAGCTAAACTATATAATAAAGTTAAAACTTGACTCTAAAAGTCGTCTTCCAATTCCAGAGTTTTCTGGTTATCACTGTATATTTTTTATTTTCAGGAGTTTCATTTTAACCGATATTTAACCCGACGACGACGAATAGAGATTGCTCATGGTCTAGGTTTAACAGAGAGGCAAATAAAGATCTGGTTTCAGAACAGACGAATGAAGGAATAGAAGCATTTTTAAACAATTTTACTTTACGTTCCCCCCCCCCCTTTTCCCAATTCTTTCTTAACTTAAGGCAGTTTCACCATTTTGTAATTTTTTCAATTTCCATTTAAAAAACAAACATAGACTGCAGTTTTTTGCCATGATTTAGAAGCTAACAAAAAAATATCCGCTAACCCGATTCATATTCGCTTTAGAGACGAAATAATGGTGTGATATTTTATTTTATTTGTTTTTATACTCATTGCACAGATTTTCATTCTGATATTTTTTCTTGCTGGGAATTTGCAATTAATCTTACTAAAAGCTATTTATTTAGCAAGTTGTTTTTTGCATTTAAAGATAATTGTTTTAGATTTGATCACGATAACCTCTGATCGCTAAAATGTGTATACAGTCCACGTTACTAACTTTGAGTCCGAATTTAATGAAATTGATCCGCGTCTCAAATCCGCCGAAAACCGTTTTCAATTGAGCGCCGGCTTGAATCTTGAAACATTGAATACTATTTTAATTGGAACCAACCATATTTAAGCCGGGTCTAAAATCTGAACCGGGGCTCAAATTCTTTAAATTCGGTCTCTGTACTGAGAAATATGACCCTTTAAGGTTATCGTGTACAAAGTGAAACAGACTGCATGAATCATCCATTATTTTAAACCTGGTTAAATTATTCATTAATGTTTTTTTAATTATGTTTAATCAGTAGACTGGGCTCAGTCTAGTAAAACCACAGTTCGTGTGTTTATTAAGTTATTTAACCTGACGAGGAGGGGGGGGGGGTTACCACTTTATTACCCGTAATAAAATGAGACCTCCCCCCTCTCTACCTCCTGTCTTCGTATCCTTGCATTCACAACATCCTTCATACATCCAGGGGGTGCAACCCCCCCCCCCCTCACTAATCCAGGGGCTAGCAGGGTAGGGGTGTCATAATTTCCCTCTGTCCCTCTCTGAGTTTGAATAAATTGCTACTCTCTTTTAAAAATGATTTGCAAACATGTTTTTGTTTCCACTTCTAATTAAAGTGTATAGGCACTACATTTAGATTTGTTTTATTAGTAATTAAGTCATATTGTTAGGTCTTAGGTCCATAATTCTAAAGGGTGACTGCCTCCCCCCCTCTTTCTTAATACCCAATTCCGCCCCCCCCCCCCATCTTTCCTCACGGTAAGTTAGAGATCCTCTGATTGAATGTCCAGTCAGCCTTAAATTTAGAACACAATTTTACCCATTAAATGCAAATATTTTGTATTTGCTCTTTTATACTTTGTTTACTTTGTATTTTACAGTTTTAAGTATTTTATGTATCTTACGCTATTTTTGACGATATTTTAATTAGAGATCTAAGTTTGACTGAAAATAAACTTATACAGGATGCACTTCGTTGTAGTTAGTTTTTCGTGCCCTAACTCCCACCATGTACCCACCCCTCCCCCCCTCTCCCCTCTCTTTCTCTACCCCTTCTCCCCCCTCTCCCTCCTCTCCCCCCCATGTTTCTTTTTGCTTATTTGTTTAAATGCTGGACCTATAGGCTAAAAAAGAGAAGCAAGGTGGATCTGCCGATGGGGATATTAATGATACAATTGGTAAATTATTTTTTTTCGTTGATTTTATTATGTTCTTTAATGCTATATTCTCTTTTTATTTTTCTGTTGTTCTGTCGTTTTCCTTCTTTTTTCTTTTTTTCTTTCTCGATTTCGTGTTTCTTTCTTTTTCTCTTCCTGATTTTAATTTTCTTTTTCGTTTTTTTTCTATTTCTCTTGCTCTTTTTTCATCTTTTTCTCTTTTTCTTTTTTTCTTTTGCTCTTGTACTTCTCTGTCATTTTCTTCTTTAACTACTTTTTTCTTATCTTTATAATGTTTTACTTCAATTTTAATATTTTTAAGTTAATTTTGAAATTGAAATTTTATTTGCAGAGAATGGTTCAGATACGTCTCTTCTGGACGAATACTCCCAGGACGATCTATTGGACGAGAGGAAATCTCCTCCCATTCAACAACCCAAACCTCAGATCCATCCTGGTCTTGACCATCAAGCTCTTCAACGGTTTCATGAGGGTCCAGGGCAGACTTTACAGTTTCAAGCAATCAAACAAGAACCATATCCGGGCACTCCCATAGGGATAGTTAATAGTTAAACTAAATTCCTCTTCATATCAACTATATTATTCGTGTGAAAAATAGTTAGTAGCTAATACACAAACTTAGCAACTTAAAAAAATCATTGGATACTTTTATTTTGGAAAAAAATAGGAAAATCTCAAAAAACTGTAATTTATGCCCGAGTCTCAATATCTGAATGCATTTCCGTTATATAAACATATCCGAGCAAACTAATCTTATTCACACTTTAAAAAGTGTATAAAATATAAAACTGAAATCAGTTTAGAACTGATGGTCTGATTTAAGCATCAAAACAAATTAGTACTTTAGTTCAAGTATCTACGAATCATCATGAAAACTATCTTACTAAAAGTTAATTAAAAGAGTAATATAAATATAACATATTAATTGTTACCAATATCTCAAAGGTCTTAGTCATTTAAAAACGGGTTATGTATCATCAACAAAGAACCTTTCGGAAAAGCTTATGTAGATATTCAAATGATATTTTTTGGGGAACCCAGCCTTCCTTGCAGGAATTTAACTTTTTGTTTTAAAGTCAACCAACTCTTCTCAGAATGCTTTAGTAAATTAAGAATATTCCCGTGGTTCTACCGAGTTTCCTGATCACAATTTGATGTATATCGGCGACGACTACTTTAAATACACAGGGGGGGGGATTATTTTTTAAATGGGGTAATTTTCAAGAAAGTATATGACACTGAATTTAACTCAGTTTTATTTCCGAAATTAATCATAAAAATATTCTGCTAGATAATAAGAAATATTAAGAAATACTTGATTGATTGATTGATTGATTATCGTTTATTTCTTTATGCCTTATTACTGGCATCTTAAATATAAGAAATACTTGAAAAAATGGCTCTAACAATGATAAAAACAATATCTTATAAGTTGTCTCAAATCTTTCCAGATAATTGACATTTTTATGATTCATTAATCAACAATAGGATAATTTTACCATTAATTGATGTGAAGTAATAAAACCATGTTAAACCCCCCCTCCCCGACCAGAAATGCTGAATCAAAGATCTCCTATCCCTTCATTAAAAACTAGTTTTAATGGCTTGTATCCCCCCCTCCCACTTCTTTATTAATTATTAACCCCGTACTTCTATTTTCTCTAACTTGCCACCTTCTTTTTTATTCAAAAACTTGTTATTACCTCATTTGACAATTTTTCCCTGTTCACACACTTTTTTGCTTTTTTGCTTATTTATTGGTTTGCACTCCTGTAAACCTACTTTCTCGTTATGGAATTAAAAAGAATAAAGCAAATTAGTAGTTTATTTTAGTTTCAGCTTCCAGTAATATAGTATATACATATATATATTGTAACCATCCCCAACCCCCTCCCCCTGCTCCAGCCGCCTTATCTAGATACTCTAGCTTTCCAAACACGATAAGGATGTGTTCATAAGACAGGATCACAGGATATAAAAGGAGACCTAACAAAGAATAAGTTTAGTTGTGCGCCAGCTCTCACAAGGAGAGGATGAAGCAATTCGCCAACTCCCCACAGTAGAGGATGGTCAATCCACTGGGAACTGCTGGGTTTGATTGGAGCTGTGGGAAAAAACCAGAAAACTCTGGTTAAAGGAAGAGTCTTAAAACTCTGGTTAAAGAAGATCCATGATCCTAAATAGAGAAGAACAGTCAATAAGACTAATGAGATACAAAGATCAGGGGATCAAATGCATAAAAGCAATTGCTAGGCAATCTTGAAGCTTCAGCAGAACTTATGCATTTAGCAAAAGTTTAAGTAGTAGGTTCCTGCAAAAAGCAAGGTGTAGAAGTTTCTTGCAAAATGCAAGATGAAGAATTTATGTAAATAAAGTAATATGCTTATAGCAGGAACAATATTTACAAGTTTACAAATGTTTAAAGATGTTAATGCACATAGAAAAAATGGTACAAGTACATAGGTTAGGTTAGGTTACTAGTTATAAGGTTGGTTTTCAAATATCTCCCATAAGCAATCTGGGGCTGATTTATATAGGCCTGAAAATGCAGGCTCGCTTATTCAGGGAGTGTGTGTATCTGCGTGCTTACATGGGGGCGTGCAATCTAGGTCTCAATACTAGGGGTGATTTCACAACCTTTTTGCCAGATTGCTTTAATGATAATTTTAATGTTATAGGTTCACATAACTTTCACGGATACATGTGTTGAGCCAGGGGAGAGAAATCAATATCCAGCTTTCAGAGAGTCTAGACTAAAGGCTTAGTTACCTCCTGTAGTGACAGAGGAACCACACTCTGAATTTTCTTTGACAGTACTGGTTTACCAGGTTGGATAAGACCTTTTCTTTAGTTCTTTGAAAATGGATAAGTTCATTGAAAGAATCCATTTCTTCAGTGGTGTACAAGAGATTTGTTGTCAGATCTTCCTGTGCTAGGGTGAAGGGCTCCAGGAAATGGAGATAATTTTCTGTAAGGTGAATTAGTTTTAGGTGCACAGTTTCTAAAGTTGGTGTAGAGGTAACCATGGTTCCATCTTGCAGTACAAAAATGGGCGGATATCTGTTGGAGCAAGATGTAAAATATGCATCTTTAGGATCCAAGATTAATCTTGTATTGGCTTCTGTTATTATAGGGCTGTTGTACAGCGATCCAGGGATTGAGTTTGCAGTACACTTTGACCCTCTTGATTCTCCTATTCTGATACTTGCATCTACTGCAGTAGATGTTAGTTTAGAAACTAATTCTCGTCTTATCGTTATGAGCCTGTTTGCATGAAAAGGCCTAGTTTCTGCTGTGGATAAACTATGTTTAGACATATCACATAGATTTTGTCCAACATTCTTTATTTGGTTCCTCAGCTTTTTTTCAAACAAAAATGTAATGTACTCAGCAGTACATCAGAGTTCCAAATCTATATTAATAATAGATGGAGACATTTGATATAAAAGAGAACTGTTGGAGGCAAAGACTTGAGAGTAGGTATAAAATGCCTTTTTTTATGTCTGGAAATGCTGTTGGGGGAACCTTAAAAAAGGTGTAGACTTTTACATCCTAATTCAGTTACTTCCTTTTTTCCAACATGAAAAATAATTTATGTTCGTTGTTAAATAAGGCTTTTTTTCTTCCTGTGGGAGTAGTTACCTCAGTCACCTTCATTTTTAGTTGTCTAATAGTGAACATGGGACAGTTCACTACTCCTTCATGTTCAATAACATAGGAAGTGTATATGTTCTAATAGACTTTGCTGGGAGCACAATCAGGATTCAACTTGATATGTTTGTCCAAGTCCACAATGCTGTCAGTGTCATGCTTGAGGTTAACAGTCTCTAAACTAATTTCAGAAGACCAAGGTTACTGCACTTCCGTGGGTTTCACCATTAATTTGAACTGAGGATCCAGAGCACTCTACATTGTTCTCTGATAGGGTTAAAGACCCATTCTCAGAAGGCCAAGGAACACTGTACTGCTTTAAAAGAAGATGTGACACAAATGCATTTTACATGTACAGCAAGAAACCACTTCTAAATGGTTAGAAATTAATAATCTGAAGTTCATGAACATGTATAAACTAAAATCATTAGTTGTGGTAAATAGTTAAAATAAGTATCTGATTTCCTGTGGATACAAGTTTAGCTAATTGAATGTTGTAATCTAATAAAATTTCAAACGCCATCTTAAACAATGTAAAGGATACAAGGACAATGATCTTACTAAAAAATAGAAATCAGTTTCAATTTCTGATGAAAGTGAATAACCAGGACAAATCCCGATTGCTATAGATATACAGAGAGATAGAAAATGCTAGTAAAGGGTATATTAGTGTAGATACTTCTGATAAGAATTCCGTATTCCTTTGAGAGACAACTGAGAGAGTTTCCTTTTAGGATGAATAAGATGAAGGACCAAACTGAAGAACCTCTGCTGCTGGATGTATCTCAAGATGAACACCTTGAGCTATGTAGACGGCCATCTGGAGAATAAAGAAATACTCTGCACCCAAATGAAACTTTATCTGGCTGCCTCCCATGGGCTCTTTGCATCTTTTTGTTGAAAAATATCTAATATCAGATCAGCATCAAGACGCTCCTGGATACTAAAAAGACTACTTGTGAATCATTCTTTTTGAACATGTATAGTGTTCTCATGGATATAGGTTATCCATTTTAACAGATGCAGAATCTTATTTCTCCTGGGAAAAGGAGAGCACTGACTGAAGTACTAGACACTGAAGTGACCCATGAACAAGGAAATCTGATCATGGAGAAAAGTGCAAGATTCACAACTAGGGTCTTGGAGAATTATGGAACCATAAGGCAGCACAAACTAGAAAAGGAGTAGGAATTCAGAAAAGATATCTTGTATATCCATCTTGAATGGTCAGAAAATGTCTGCACATTTTTCCATGGAAGAGAGCTCCTGTTAAAGGACCAACTGTGTCTGAGTAAACTCTCTGATTAAAGTAAGATAGTTCCTCTCGGTGCTGTTTATGTACAGGTTTAGACAGATGTGCATGCTTGCTTAAACAAGGTATACAGTTGTTTATTCTTCCTTGTACATAACTGTACATATGTGGGAAATAGAATCTTGCCTTGAGTGTGTTGTATGTGTTATTCATTCCCACATGTCCATTCATGGGATCTTCATGGCAAAGCTTAAAAGCAATGTCATACATACAGGTAAACATAAACGTTTGGCTGATTTTTTTCCATGAAGATCTGGGCCCTGAAAGTACAGAATCCCATCATCCACAGTTAACATCTCAAAGACATTAATAAAAGTCATTCCTATCAGTATTGAAAGGTTTTCTTTCTTCACGGCTGGGTTTCTGTCCTTTACGTATAAAGTCCATGACTTTGACCAGGACACTGTCAGCTTTACAAGCAGTACGTAAGTCATCCTTGGTAATCTCTTGGTTATTAAGTGCATGAAGAGTATATATATCATCTACATCATGTAAGGGGTCAATATCTCCAGTAGTGTTGGCGGGAGGGGGGTTGCTTAAATTTCCGCTATCTCACACTTAAAAAAACAGAATTTTATATCAAATTCCGGGGATCTAAAAATTAATATATAAAAAATGATAGCTTTTAAATTCAGAAATAAAAACTGTAAATGAATCATTTTGAACACAATTGTCTATTTTCTAAAACTCTGTGATTTAAAAGTCTTTTTCAGTGTTTAAATTAGGCCTTCTGACCTTTACTCTTCACATTGTATTTGAAGGGACATACCTTGGTTACCTTGATAACATATCAAACATAGTTTAGAGGCTTTTAAAGTTATTTTTGGTTGGCTTGTTGGGTAGTTGGTTGGTTGGCTTGTTGGATAGGTGGCTGACTTGTTGGTTAGATGTTTAGCTGACTGGTGAACTGTTGGTGGGTTGGTTGGTTGGATGGTTGGTTATTTGGTTGGTTTGTTGATTGGTTGGATGATGTTTTGGTTCGCTGGATGGTGGGCTTGTTGGTTATTTTGTGGGTTGGCTGGTGGGCTTGTTGGTTGGTTGGTTGGTTGGTTGGTTGGTTGGTTGGTTGGTTGGTTGGTTGGTTGGTTGGTTGCAAGGCTGGTAAGTTGAATGCTAGTTTTTGTTGGTCTAGTCATTTTTCGACAAACCTGTTAAATAATTTATCGACTAGATAAATGATCTAATCAACTTGCCGACAAAAATATCAACTGACTGTCTAACTACTAGCCCTGCCAGTAAATTTGTTCAATTTTATGCTGGGGTAGGGTTGGCTTTCTTAGGTTAATGATCATGATCGATTGTCATTAAATATCCTCAAAACTTAATTAAGTTATTCAGCAATTATACCTCAAATATATGCTAATCACTATTCATACACTACAGGGTGAGCAAATTAAAAATATCATTATTGCTCTAATAAATGTACCAAAGATTTTATTTATTAGAAAAAATTTAATTTATCTAGAAAAAAAAACATGTATAATATCGTACATATTGGAAGATTTCATCATCCCTGTGTCATAACAGTCTTTTTTTCCTTGTAGACCACAGAATCAAAATTCTGCGGTCTACAATTCAAAAAAAAGTTCTTCTTTGCTGACCATTTGTTTTGTAATTTTTGTGTTAAATTGTGTTAAATTGTGAAATTATAGTTCCTCCTCTTGCCACTAAGTGACCGCATGACTTTGCAAATATTTGCATCTTTAGTTGCACTTATATTGTAAATATAACAATAAATGCATTGTTTGCATTTGTTAACTTGGTTTCTCCACACAGAAGTTGTAAATAAATATTTTATAAGAAAATGGAGTCTTTATCAGATAGAGAAATAGATGAAGTAATTTAAACTTTTTTAAACTAAA